ACAATAGTTATTTGTTGGATGCTTACACCTGATTACATTTCACCAGGTGTTCTACAGCCATTATCTCAAATCAACCTAATTAGGCAGATCTGTTATCCCCATTTCACAGAAAACAATTTAGTGAAGACTTAGCTTGTCTAAAGCCTCACAGACAGTAAGTGTCCTATGTCCAGGCCAAACTCTTGCTCTTTCCTCTGTGCTGAATTGATCTTAAAGGGATATGTTTTTTTTCTTTTGAGTTGGAGTCTCACTCTGTCACCCAGACTGGAGTGCAGTGGCCACTCCTGGTCACCGCAGCCTCGATCTACTGGGCTCTGGCAATCCTTCTGCCTCAGCCTTCCAAGTAGCTGGAACTACAGGCGCGTGCTACCACGCCCGGCTAATTTTTTATTTATTGTAGAGATGAGGTCTCGCCAAGTTGCCCAAGCGAGTCTTGAACCCCTGGGCTCAGGCAATCCACTCACCTCAGCCTCCCAAAGCACGGGATTACAGGCTGAGCCACCGAGCCCGGCTTGGAATCATATTTTTAATTTGAGAGATCGCTCTTACATAGTATTTAACACTGAGTTTTTTTTCAGCTGAATATTTCATATGTAATGTGCTATACCGTGTCATTTGGCTATTAAGGACAAACAGTTGGTCTCTGACTTGTTAACTATTTTATTCTTGAAACAATGAAGCTGTTTAGCTAAAGTCATCAAGCTACCTGAGTCCTGCTGGAGTGGTGTCAGAAAGTCAAAGACACAGAGATATTCTTAGGAGGGCTAATACACATTTGAACAAGAACCATAAAATCTTCAAGACAAAAACAACCCTGAGAGCATCCTGAGGGATTCTATCCCAATCTTCAACTCCAAAGCAAGCTCCCCAGAGGAGTCCCTTCCCGACACGCATCCACTGAGAGAAGGCTCCTCTTTCTCCTTGGAGAGCAGCAGCCGGTCGTCATGTAGGGTGACCACCTATGGGTTGCAAGGAGGGGCAGTGGAGGTGGAACAGAGCTAGGCCCAGCACAAGCAGGGCAGGCTCAGGTTCCAGAGAAGCTCCCCCTCAGGTGATCAGAGGCCAGTGGGGAAGGAAGGATGGGGGCGGGGGGAGGAGGAGCAGGGAGAGAAGAGGCCTTCAGCAGGGTTACAGGCAGCGCCTTCTCCCCGCTGCTACCTGGGCCTTCTGTTGCCACCTGCGAGGTAAGGACCAGATTCCTCCCAGTCAGCATGAGGACTTCGGTCTTGGATCATATCCACAGACTGAAATGTTTGGTAGCATCACCTAGAGACTGGCAGGAATTGCTTTTTTTCTTTGACGATTAGAAATGGGCTCTCTCAACCAACAAATATTTATTGGGTGTTCTTCACATGGTAAGGCACCAGGCAAAGTGCTAAGAGGAATATAAGGGGGAAAAAGGTCCCTCCTTCTAGGAGCTTATACAGACAGAAGCAAGCAAATAATCCCAAAAGGTGACAAATGAGTGGCATTTAATATGCAATATCTGGGTTGAGGAAGAGGGAGAATGGAGACAGAAAAAAGTCCTCATCACTACCTGTTCCCAATGCCTCAAGAAAAAAAAAAAATCCGGATGACTTTGAAAGATAATGCATAAGATAAACGTATGTATTCCCTGCCAATCTTTGTACTCCCCAAATAATTTCTGTGTATTTATTAGCAGAGGGAAGCTGTGTTACCAATTGCATACATCGAGGGCAGAAAACTGCCTGGGTCTACACCTTTCAAGTTCAAAACTACAATAATTTCTACGTTCAGAAAGCAATGATGTTTCGGAAGAGAAAGAAGTCTCTTTATAAGCCCTTAAAAAAAAAAAAAAGAAACCTTAGATATGTATTCCAAGTATCCCACAGCAGCAAGAAATAAGTTTATTGTCTTACTTGTTTAAAGGGCTGAACAAAAGAAATAAAGTCTGAATGTTTCAGAGTTGGGACAAAGCCTGATTCCTTCTGACCCTGAGATATATGAGGGAACTGAACAGGTACTAATTTCATTTTTTTTTTAAAGTTTCTACTTAACTGAATTTAGATTATTAAATGCTGTTTTAGCTGAACCTGAATACTCTGAACCTGTGTGAACAGTAACTGGCAGAAGCTAATCTTCAAGTGATTAGCTCTGAGAAAACACTGCTATGAATATTATTCACGTGGTATACAATGGTATATACATGCTGCAGCTTACTGTTCCATTCATTGTAACATATGCCAAATACTCAAGGCTCCATGTTGCCTGCAAGCTATGCACAAAAATACTGAGATATTTACTACATAAGAAAGCATTCCTACATATTTACTACATAAGAAAGCATTCCTACATAGCAGCTGAGTACTGGGTGAGTGGGGGGTGGGAAGAGTATTAGTCACAAACAATTGTCAAAAAGAAAAGCAAGAACGCACAGATTTTTGCTTTTTCATTTTTTTTTAAGTTGAGGGTTTCTGTCACTCGGCTCGAATGCTCACAGCAGCCCTGACCTCTTGGACTCAAGCAATCCTTCTGCCTCAGCCTCCAGAGTAGCTAGGACTACAGGTGTGCACCACCATGCCCGGTTAATTCGTTTGTTTTTTTGTAGAGACTAGGTCTGGTTTGACTCCTGGGCTAGTTTCAGACTCCTGGGGCTCAAGCGATCCTCCAGCCTCAGTCTCCCGAAGTGCTGGAATTACAGGTGTGAGCCACCATGCCCGGCCAGCTTTTCTTTTTCTAAAACACACACTGAGTGCAAAACTTCTATCAAGAGGATACTCTGAAATGTGTGGGCTGTAGAAGACGATGTATTCACATTTCAAATAATGCTTTTAAAAGCATAGTCACAAATATCCAAAACAGAACTTACCCTGTAAAATAATCCTCACATTTTTTCATGAGATGATCCCTTGGCTACTTGAGGATGCATCCTGCAAGTCTGGTCTTCATCCTGACACACACAAACGACAGAACGTGCCTGGGCTAATGTTAATATAGGCCCCTCAAATATAATAAAAACGATGCCCCCTGACATTGTGCCAGGGGCCCTGGCATACTTTCGGTATCTCTCCTAAAAATCAAATTGATATTGGAAGCATTCACTTTCTGAGGTCAGAGGTGGTCATCTTTCCTGCACGTGGAGCCTGGGACGGAAGACAGTGTGGTCCAGGCAGGGCTCGCTGCTTCCTTCTTCTTGAGGCGTTATTTCCCCATGCCCTGACTCAAGTTATCCAGCACCCAAAATACACTGTTTCTGATTAAATTACTTTTGCCCTAAATTAATCTTATTTATGTATGAAAAATTACTGACTTGGGCTCACTTCCAAAATGAAGTAGTTGGATGCCAGCATACTTTGACATTTCAGCACATTATACATAAGCCACAAACTGTTTATTTCTGCAATTCATGATTAACATAAAATGCTGCTTTCCATGCACTTTTTTTTTCCTTAAAGGAAGTTTTCAGTTGGGAATTCTTATTAGTGGATGATGTGTTTCCCTACCATTACCCTTAATTTCATGGTGCTAATATATAATTCAGAAAAACCTTTTGTGAGGGTATAGGTTGGCAACCTGGTCTGTACTCTGGATTTTATGATGGCATACAAAATGATAACATATGAATCAATAACACTAACTCCAAGTGCTACTGAATAGGTGTTTTACTGTGGCCTCTCCTTCACGTCCCTGGGTTAATTATCTAATGAGGTACACAGGAAAAGTAAATGTAGAGCTGGCATCCGAACCAGGCTTCGCATAGGTGAATGGCTAAATCACCAAGGACAAGAGAGTTTTCTTGCAACTAAGGCCCTTCTTAACAGTGGGATACTGCAGAGTTTGCTCGCCCAAACAATCACTTCTAGTTTAACTGAAACCACCATTCCCTTTAGTGTGATACTGATGAGGAATAAAAGAAAGGGCCTAAGGTTTTGCAGGGTCTGAGTGATGTTTACAGTGAGTCATTTTCTGTTGGGTGGAGTTTGAATTGTTTTGTTTTGTTTTGAAAGTACACAAAATACACTAAATTAAAATGTGAGTACCAGAAAATATGGATTCCAGTTTTCAGAGCTGCATGTAGTACTTCTTCACAGAACTACAGTGTGCCAGGCATCATAACTGAGACATAACTGGGGGAGGGTGTTTCATGACCATAGTGTCTGTACTAAAGGGTATGCCAGATTCCAGGGTCCTGGGAATAGCTTATGTGCTGGGACCTCCCCCCAAAACCTCAGTGGTCTTGGGAAATCCAAAGCAGGTCAATATACTACCCTGAACCTAGGCTGACCCCAGAGGGTTTATCAATCTGCAAATAACCTTAGGAGTCTTCTTGTCCTTCTGAGCTTGATTACTCCAAATCCGTCCAGCAAATCATGTCTCAGTTCTCATGAAAAGGGACAGAAGGTACGTTTCCAACACTACCGAAAAAGGTATGTCTATACCAAAGGATGTAGCTCTCACTAGCACACCAGCAGACAGAACAGCAAAGAGCAGTGGACAGTTTCAAGGACACCAGAAGAGATAATACCCTTTGAGATTCCATATTGTATTGTGGCTCCATTTGGAACAAAGAGTTCTGGGCAGGCAAAGTCCTTGAAAAATGATGTTGAAGGGGCAGGGAGTGTGGAAGACTTATGCTTCTGCAAAGTAGCTAAACAAAGAAAAAATAAAAACATTCCATTTCTATGTGGATAATTTACTATTTAACTGAACATTTGGAATATTATAAAACTAATTCATTAATCATGTATGTGTCCCTGAAAGTATCACTGATCCAACCTTACAAAGTATTTTAATTTTATTGGCTTTCCAAAGGCCCACGTTCTCTATAGTGATAAACTTCCCATCTTCCTCACAACCAATAATTAAGACTGGTTCATGAATTTGGACTCACATATACTTTGTCTAATTTCCTTTTATGTCTCTGTACCCCCTATGACTCCCCCCAAAAACCCCCAAATCAGACTGTATTAACTGATTCACTGTAAAGTCACAGCTAGATTCCAAATCTGACAAAAATTCCAATTCATGAGACACCTATAGCACTTTATCTATATTTGTACACTTTATTTAAAAACAAATAATACACTTTGAGCCACCAAAAATGGATATCTTAGTTAGCTTATTCCATACCCTGAATTTACAAAAGAAACTTCTTGCACCACAAAAATTAGCATTTGGATTAATTTACATGAATTGATATTATAACTAAAATTTAAAATACCTGAAGATCAAACAATCTGGCCCAGGGCTCACCAGAGGGGGACTGGGTGTGGAGAGAAAGTTATTTAGGAATCTGAACTGATGACACCCTGAGGTCAACGCTAGTAAACTGAAGTTGAGAAGACAAAATAAGCAGTAGATTTTAATATTACAAAGAAGTGGTTCCTCCTAAAAACAGGTATTAGATCATACAGTTGGGGTGGTGGTAGGAGATACCTCTTAATCTAGACGGGTGGGAAAAAAGTGTGTGGGAGGGGGGTTGCATTTGTTTTCTCATAAGAGGCAAATTTCAGCCAAACAATGAGGAGAAAGGAGGGAGGGTGTTATATGGTAGACTGAAGACTTTCGGATTGCTGATAATACCAGATTTAGCAGCTCTCAACAACTCAATTAAAATTCCATTCTCTGAGACATTTTCAGAGAGGAGCTAACACACAACCAGGGGAAAAAAAACATTCTACATTAACAAGGCACTCACTGGTTCACAGCCTGTTAAAAACCCAGGCAGACATTAGAGTTAATCTAAATTAAAATCAACTTTCTAATTTGCATCAGAGGGATGACAAGCATGTGATCCCAGTTAAATCAAATCTAAAGCTTGCCTAGCTAAGACCCCAAAAATTCTGACCCCTAAGCACCACTTCAGGAATACTGTTAGAATAAATGCGTGGGATCTAGGGATTGGTATTTGGCCTAACATTTGCTTTTTTTTTTTAACATTTAAAAACCAAAACCAAAACAAAGACGAATGTAAAAGATCTGTTAAATACTTTGTCAACCCAGCATCCCTTACAGTGACACAGAGAACCAGCTAGATGATGGATATGGCCAATTAAGAAGTTTTTAGTGGCAAAAGTAAAAATTATTCAAATTATTTACCAATGACCTGTCCTCTGTTTTCAGACACAGATATGTTAGTTTTCTGGAAGTTCTCCTAAAACGAGTTTTAGGAGTTGATACATTTCACAAAAATATACATATTTTTGTCAGCTATTACTTTTGTACAACCTGAATCCCAGTGTCAAACACTTAAAGTACTGCAATTATATAAACAACTAGACAAGTAACATAATAATGGAGGCAACTTCTAAGTAAATAAAACGAATGCTTATATACTTAATAGTCTTGAAAGAGTTTTCAAAGAATAAAGTAAGCTGAATAAAATTATACTGAGAACTCTTTTTCATGTAAATTCAGTAATAATTTGGCTCTTGATTGAAAACATCACATAGACATACACCAACCAGAGATTAACTGTCTCCATTCACTAATAACATTGATGGCTAATTTTAAGCAGTGCTTTCAAAAGAAAACCAAAATTAATTCTAAGCCTTTCAATCTGATTTGTGATATCTCAACACAACATAACTTAAATGACAAAGCCTGAGAAAAGCACCAACATAGATTTTTGAATTGCATCCAAACATTATTTTAGATGTCATAAAGATTTCCTTTAGTTAAAATGGCAGCAATGACAAAGAGGTAGATATGAGAGATGTCATTTAAATACTTTAAGACTATTCTTAGGTGGAATTTTAACTAGTTAAGGTTTAATCTAAAAATAATTTTTACTAGTTGAATCTTTACCACATAAGATTTCATGACATGCTCTTGTGTAAGGGGGAAATAGATGAAGTACTATAAAAGCGAGCCTTTAAAAAATTACATTTACGTAGTCAAATCCCAGATTCTATAATTTTGGTGAACCAACAACTTCTCCTTCTACCTGAACATGACTATAAAGAATAGCTACTTTTTCTCAACTGAAATTTCTAGGAATTCACATTCAAAATTCTTGGAAATATACATGGTGCTCAGAAGAGCCCACAGACAGCGCATGAAATGTCCCCTGAAGTCCTAGAAGTTGAGCAAATACATTAAAAAGACATTGATGGTCACAAATCAGGACCTTCACAGATTGGTAAACACACACACCCATGCATGAGCAAACACACACACACATACATACTCTCTCTCACTGCCCCCCCTCCCACCCCTACCCCAAACTCAATCTTCATCCTCACTGTAAGGCTGCATTTGTATTTTTTTTAAAGGCACCTCTCATTTTCTAGCTATTGCCTTCTTGATGATATCTGTTTTGTCAAAAAGCCTGAATGTCCAATGGAAATAGTTCAGTACTGAGAATGGAATATTTTTTCAATTCACATTTGAATAGCCAGGTTTTCTTACATTCAAATTTTAATAAACTAGAATGACAGTCTTTAAAACAAGCATGCTAGCCTATAATGAATATAGTATATACAGTAATTTAAACATTTAGAACTATATATTATACTGCAAAAGCAAACAGCACAACACTCGTCATACTCATCATTATCTGCTGTGTACACTACCTCCAAAAATGAAAATACAAAACAGTAAAATGCACCTATGGTTTTTATATATATATATATATATATATAGTCTATATATATTATATATATTCCTACAATATATATAATATATATTTATAAAATATACATACATTTTAGACACTTTCAAATAAATCTTCATCATTAAAGAAATTTATAGCAAGAATACTGAAGGAATGAAAGATAAACAAAAATTTCTCATAAAGCTCATTATCAGAGATGCAGCTCAATGTCCCCCTTTTTAGTCATAACTAAAATGATTATAAAAGCTAAATACTTTGCATAACTAAGTATCTGTTTAATGGCAAAAATTGCTAAACTTGTTCAATAGAAAAATACGGAAGGTCATTATACCACTTATGTTAATTATCTGTCTATGGTCTGAGTAGCCAGTGAACTCCCGATGCCACCAGCTGAGTTTGGGAAGGGTGCTGCAAGCTCCGAGCGGTTCACCCCTAGCATATGAAAATAAGGCAGGACCCATACTTCCTGCGGATTTTCATACTATGTATTCCAAAGCATTTCACCAAAATATTTACACATAAGCACTATGAAAGTGTTTCAATTTTGTGAATTTTTAAAAAATTGTCAATAGGCTGTGGGAAAAGTCAGACACGTCTATGCTACTATCTGGTTGGAAGACAGCTTTGGCTCACTTCTGGGTTAAAATCATACAGTGGTAGTGAAGAGGAAATCTCTGCACAAAGTCTCCAATGGCACAGCACTGGCTTTCCATGGAACCTTCAATAGTTCCATCATTTGCACCAAAGTCTACACAGCTCATGGTTGTTTTCCAGTCACAAATAGAAAAAATTCAACCATGAAGCATCAAATGAGCAGGGGAAGAGAGTGTCTTGATTTTTAGAATTTCAGTGGCACTAGTAATGCAGGTACTGAAGATCTTGGAGGATAATTATAGCAATAGCTGGTACAACAATAGCTTTGTGGTCATCGATCATAGATCTACCAACTAAGGGACCCTGACTGGAACTATCCAGTATCCTATCCTACAAAAGTTAGGTTAGAAACACGCTTTCTTCACTCTGTGAAGAACCGAAAGAAATTTACTGAACACAATGTGGAATTCTGCATCTACATGGAAATACAAACATTCACCTGGTAGCTCGTGTCTAGGTCAATTCATATGATTACACAAAGAAATTTCTTAAGCCTGCTTGTTAACCAAAGCACAAAGATGAAATGAAAAAGGTAGTTGTGTTAAGATACTACAGCATATCTGTATGACAATCAGGCAAATTTAGCATAGGTCCTTCTTTAGTTTTGAAGAAATTTTGCCTGTACACTGCAGAATTCTAGAAACAGACAAAAATATTGTCAATTCTTATCCACATCACCACCAGAATACTTCAAGTACATATCATCAGAAGTATCATTGCTATGACAATGGAATATGTGGAGATAGGAATGTAGGAATTTTTTAATGGGTTAAAATATTTATGAATATAATTTTTTAAAGACTAGTATATGTACATTTGGGTGAAAAGTTGGACATAAATAATTTCTAATTTCTAGACTGGTCCCTCTAAGAAACAAGAAACAAGAAAAAGAGTATGAAGAGAGGCATGACACCTATAGCAATGAGATCTGTGTGACACGGGACTAGGTCCAAATAGTGGGGTTGTGGGAATCCCAAAAGCTGACTACTTGTGGATGGGTCACAGGTAAGGTGGGCTTGGGGAGGCCTGGCCTTTTAAGAATGGTTTCCCCCAAAACAATACTTATTTACCACCCATTAGAACACGTGTATCTCAATTAAACAACAGGGAAGGGATAGGGAGAGAGAAAGAGAGAATCTTTTATCCAATACTGGGCACTGAACTCTTCCATAGAGATTTCCAGGAGGTTCTCCTTGGAGATATTAACAGAAGAATTCTGGGGTACAAACATTTATTTTTATTAGTACTTCTGCAAAAGCAGCTGCCTGAGGTTAACCATACCCTTTGGACTGTTAAAACAACAATTATGTACTATATTTTGGTAGGTGTCAGATAATATGAATTTGAGAGAAAGAAGAAAGAGCAGAGATCATCTCTGAAGCCTGGTTATGTGGGTGTTGACAAATGAGGACTAGCAAATAACTTCCATCTTTCCAGTCACCGAAAAGTAAGAGTTCATCAATATGAAATAATCACTCTGGTACTATCAATATCACATGAATAAAGTGAATTTTAAAATAGAAATTATTATAGAAATATGCCCTGTTTAGTTTTAAAAATAAACAGAATTTCAAACCTGAATAAGTTAAATCCTTTAATAAAAGCAGACTCTATCATCTATTCTTCATAATGTGGGTACTTGACAGCTAAATTTTAGAATGGTACCAAATCTATTTTCAAAAATGTAATACAATATAGAAATCTGCTTGCAAACTAAGTATTTGTTTAGCATTTCTGAATAATAATATATTTAACATGTTATTGCATTTTTTTCTTCCTCTAATAGGTAAAATGCCTTGCCAGGTGCTTTATGTAGACAGCAGAAAAGAGCTAAATTAAAAACTCATTTTAACACTGCCTGGTCATTACACACAAAGGGGTTAATATGACAGATAAGATAAAGGTTATAGTTTTGACTACTTAATATGTTTAACAAGATTTCTTGGGGAGAACTAGGTCTAAGTTTCCGCTCTTCCTCTATTCATTCCCAGCTCTCAAGCTTTTTAATGATCCATTGCAGCATGCCCTACTTACTCAATAGGGACAAGCTAGACCTGTATTCGCTCAGGCCTGCCTAGCGAATAAGAACCACCTCAGAAATAAATGCACCTATGTGGGGGAAAATTTGAAACAGTTTCAGGCTCACAGATTCAGCTGAGCTTGCAGCAACCTGAACAAACCTTAGTTTTAGAAAACAGTATACGAATTGCAAAACTACTTTAACAAATGTTCTCTGTGCTCCTTCAGCAGAACAAAAGGGCATGATGAGTTGACTCTGACCCGTCCTCGATATCTCTTTTGTGCAGTTGATCACTTATAAAGAGCTAGAAGGTGAAGATGACGCATTGTGTCATACAAAGACTTTAGCCAGTGCATCCGCTCCAGCACTGGCTATATAGCATTTGGATGGGTGGAAAGCTACATCATGAATTGATTCTTCGAACTTTTTTCGATGAGCTGTGAACTCTTGGATACATGTCTTACTTTCTAGATTCCATAAACGTATTGAACAGTCATGACCTATAACAAAAGAAAGGAAATTGAAAGAAAAAATTACATAAACATGAAATTGATAAGGACAAATAAACAATCCATAGTGGATGTACTTACTGCCGGACATCAAATAAAGGCCATTAGGATCAACTGCTAAACTTGTAACGGCTTCCAGATGGGCTACCATCGAGTGGATCAGTTTGCCTTTGGAAAAAGAGATTGGTACTCTTTACTAATGATTTTCCTCATCTTGAATATACCAGCTACCATGTTACACTGGTTTCTGCAGTTCTCCCTCTCTAGGTACTTACATCAACAGCTTTTTCCGTCAGCTAAAGCAACACATTTCTCCCTCCACCTCTAATCATGGTAATGATAAAGAACAAAAAAAGCTTGGATTTTAGATCATACATTTGTCTTTTAAACCACAATATGGAAGTCAGCAATTTCTACACAGACACCTCCTTAAGCCATGTTCATTACTTAGAAAGTAGACATTATTAATCACCTAGTCTGCTTCTTTTAGCTACAGGCAAATTATATGAGCTGTGAAACACAGGGCTCACATTCACAGAGAGAAAAGAATGAGATGAAGACAAAAGAACAGAAAGAAAACACGGCCACAATGTTAGTGGAAACAACAGATAGAAAGGAATTTGAAATATGAAATGACTCATCACTAGCAGCTAAGCAGAGTCAGCAAAAGTCAACCTAGTAACACAGAAGATATTTAGGTAAACATGACTGCTGATACAGGGCACTTTCCTCCCAGCACACCCTTCATGCATTTTCTTTAGATTGCAGAAGAGGAATCCAATAAAAACTGTGAAAGTCTACATGCCCCAATTTAAAACAATCAGGTCCAAATAGTTCAGATTATAACTCAGAAATGATTAGTCCATGTAAAAATGACCCAGGGACTTTCCTTCCATCTGCAGTGCTGAATAAGGCTATCTGATAACTGAATAACTGAGTATTGAATAAGGCAATCCATAATTGAACTATTTTAAACAAAATGTAATGATCATATGCCTTTGCTTCCAAAGTTTCTAACTTTACTCCAATATATTGCAATAATTCATAGCAACAGATAATTTTCATCTTGTCCCTAGTGATAATCTTGGCTCTAGAGCCTAATATAGCATCTACTCACTATTAAATAAACCAAAGTGATTCTAAATGGTATAATGAAGACAAGACTAGCAGATTTGGGTAGAATAAACAGAAACTGAGCCAGGAGAATATTTGGCTTTCAGTGTCTATTCCCTGACTACAAAGTCACCACTAGACACCAAAATTAGCCCCCTTGTAGTAGGGTTTGTTTGTTTGTTTTGTCTTGGCTTTAACACAATCAATTCTTAATAAATTCTTACCTGTATTGTTATCATAGAATTTGATGTGCCTGTCTTCATGAGCAGTGATGCTGATGGGAAGAGTGGGATGACTGATGACTCTATTTATCTGACAAGAAGAGTTGGCTGCTGAAAAAACAAAAAGCAACACATAATCATCACAGATACTACTTTTGCACACAAAGGAGAACCGAATAACCACCAGAGACTGACAAAGTAAATAGTGTGACTTTAATTTGTTTTTAGTTTATTTATTCTGCAATTGTTTCCAGAATTTCACCATTAGGAAATTAAATAACTGATAAATCTGGAGGTATCTATGATTCCTAATTTCCTGCCATCTGTGGGTGCCACCTAAGCCCTCACCTGGAGTCACTGACATTTCTCCTTCTACAATATTTTTCTACTTTAAAATATCCACCATCACATACATGGAGATAACTCCCAAACTTAAATCCCAGCTCTTTTTACTCCTTATCACAGTTATCATCTAAAGACAAATATGACAAGAGCTTCTTAATGCTTAAAACATTTTTTCACTCTTCCTCGTCATAATATGGAATCTTAAAATAGTCAGCATCTTAATAGTATTTTTTGTGTACTATTTAACAGTTTTCAAACAAATTTCAATTATACACACAATGAGACAGGCAGGCCACAAATTAAGTCCATATCACAGTGAATGTACCACGGTCCAGAAAAGTCGTGACTCCCCCCAAATCAGATAACAAAACCAGACCCTAGCCTAATTTCTAACTCTATCCGGATGAAATGGCTCATGCAAAGCAGACAAGTACCAAAACTGGTCCCTAAACAATCACAAGTTCCTCCTAAAAGCCTTTTATCCAAAGGAAATCAATAATTAAGAACTTTAGTGATTTTTTTTTTTTTTTTTTGAGTTGGAGTCTCACTCTGTCGCCCAGATTGGAGTGCAGTGGCCGCTCCTGGCCACCGCAGCCTCGACCTGCTGGGCTCCGGCGATCCTTCCACCTCAGCCTTCTGAGTAGCCAGAATTACAGGCATGCGCTACCACGCCCGGCTCATTTTTTGATTTATTGTAGAGATGAGGTCTCGCCAAGTTGCCCAGGTGGGTCTCGAACCTGCAGGCTCAGACAATCCACTCACCTCAGCCTCCCAAAGGCATGGGATTATAGGCTGAGCCACAGAGCCCGGCTAACTTTAGTGATTTTTAAGATACTTTTTGTAAGAAAAAAAGAAAAATCTACATAAAAATACTAAGATATGTCAATGTTTTGAAAAAGTATATCATAGTCAAGGGAGAGAAAGAGATGTCCTAATAAAATACATTATTGGAAAAGCTGGCAAAATGTGAATATGAACAGAAAGTTAGACAATGGTATTGTGCCAAAATGTTAAATTTCCTGATTTTGATCATTGTGACACACTATGTCAGAGAACGTCCTTGTTTTTAGGAATTACATGCTAAAGGATTTAGGAAATTAGGGGTATGAGGTTTCTCATGTGGTTCAGAATTTAAAATTATACACATATATGGAGAGCAAGATAGCAATTATACACATATATAGAGAATGGCCGGGCACAGTGGCTCACACCTATAATCCGAGAACTTTGGAAGGCCGAGGTGAGACGACTGCCTGAGCTCACAGGTTCAAGCCCAGCCCAGGCAAACTGGTGAGACCTCATCTCTACAATAAATCAAAAAATTTCCGGGCATGGTGGCACGTGCCTGTAGTTCCAGTTACTTGGAAGGCTGAGGCAGAAGATCACCTGAGTCCAGCAGGTCAAGGCTGCGGTGGTCGTGAGCAGCGTGCCACTGCACTCCTGCCTGGGCTACAGAGTGAGACTCTGACTCCAAAAACAAAAACAAAAACAAAAACAAAAAAACCCTGCTGAGAATGAGTAAAGCGTAGCCAGGAATTCTTATACTATTTTTGTACCTTTTCCTCAAGTTTAAGATTATTTCAAAATAAAGAGTACTTTTTTTTTTTAGTTGGAGTCTCACTCTGTCGCCCAGGCTGGAGGGCAGAGGCACACACGCAGCCACCCCAGTGTTGACGTGCTGAGCTCAGGTGATCCCTCCACCCCAGTCTTCCAAGTAGCTGAAACTACAGGCGTGCGCTACCACGCCCAATCAATGTTTTATTTATTGTAGAGACGAAGTCTCGCCAAGTTGTCCAGGCTGGTCTTGAACCTGTGGACTCAGACAATCCACTCGCCTCGGCCTCCCAAAGTGCTGGGATTACAGGCTAAGCCACTGATCCCAGCCAAGTTATTTTTAAAATCCCAGAATAGTTATTATCCATTTACATTCACACAATAGAAAATATAGCTAAAAATAGTCTAATCTTATTGGATTTTCATATGATTGCTAGAAATATGACATTTTAAAAACCGAAGACAGTCTTTTTTCCAATGCTAGCGGCAGGTGATTAACTAGACCATTATTTATGTATAGAAGAAAAACGGCACTTGACCATGTGAAATTTTTGCTCAGTTATACTTGATTTAAACAACCCTAAACACAAGGTGCTTAGTTTCAAAATTCAGACTACAGACTTTTTCCTCCACATATAACATACCACTGAACAACACCCCCTGGGCCGGACCCGGTGGCTCAGCCTGTAATCCTAGCACTTTGGGAGGCAGAGGCGAGTGGATTGCCTGAGCCCGCAGTTTGAGACCAGCCTGGGCAACTTGGCGAGACCTCGTCTCTACAATAAAATAAAAAATAGCCGGGCGTGGTAGCGCATGTCTGTAGTTCTGGCTACCTGGAAGGCTGAGGTGGAAGGATCACTGGAGCCCAGGAGGTCAATGCTGGGGTGGCTGTGAGCATGCATGCCACTGCACTCCAGCCTGGGCAAAGCAGTGAGACTCCAACTCAAAAAAAAAAAGAAAAGAAAAAAAGAAAGAAAGAAAAACACCCTCTATAAAGTCTGCCAAGGAAAAAGAAAACAAAAAAGAGTAAGTGAAAAATCCTTTATAGTCTAAAAGGGAAGTTTCAGAAAATAGCTTCAATTACTTTGAGAGCCAGAAAATGAATATGACAGAAATCAACCAAATCATGAAAGCAGGCAAAAGAAAGTTCTTATTTGGTAATACTTTGAAGGAAGTTTCTTCTCCTGATAGTAAATCAGAGAAGTAGGAAAAATGCAAAGAACATTAGAAATAACCTAAAGGCCTAGCAGCAACAGTCTAACAATGAATCCAAAACAATCCTCCAAATATTCATATTCAGCTTGTGACGTATCTGATTCAACTACCTTTGGCTTTATCACAGTCATTAGCGAGAAGGGTGATTTATTCTTATTCTAACAATAGACATCCTTCATCATTTTAAACTCTATATGAAATTCACTTTCGCTTGGAAGCATGTTTTGTCTGAACTTTAATTTTTGAAAAAAATCTGCTAAATTCCAGAGAAGAAAAATATAATCAAAATAGAAGCAGCAAAGGGGGTAGTACACAGTAGAAAATGTAATACAAGACTAATTTGTTCACTATATTCAATCTAAAAATAATAAAATTGATAATTTAGGAAATTCAGGACACATTACAACTCAAAATGATTATTGCTTGTTCCAGTGATGTTGCCTTTGTTAAAAACATTCTTGGCAGTCTTCTAAAAATGTTTCCAGTATCAAGCAAAGAGTCATATTACTTTACGGTTACATCTCTTGGAGAGAAAAAAAATGTGACTGCCAAGTTCTCTTTATCCATTTATCCACCAGACTTCCTAACTCAATACCTGTCACTCAGGACATTTAAAGAATTCACTACAATCTCTAAAGGTAATTCCAAAAATGTTCACATTCCTCTTAAAATCACATTTTAAAAAATTTTACTACTGTAGCTTTGGATCATATATTTAAATGTGATTTTTAAAAATTTTCTCAGTCTAAAACTTGTATTTCTTGGCAAAAAAAATTTCTTTTTTCAATTCTATAATCTCAATTTTTATTTTCTTCTCTGTTATATCCAAATAGCTCAAGGTTCAATTTGTGCTTATTTCCCCAAACAAATCTCACAGTATATCAGAAGAAAACAAAGAATAACAGATTAAGAAGGGAAAATAAAACAGTAATAGAACAAAAAAATTTTTCGAGGAGGAGGAGTACACATATGTATGCATATGCAATTACATGTTCACATACATGCATACAAACACGTAATCATTTTTGTGCAAGTTCTCAGATTAAAGTAACAGAATATGTGTACATATTTTCTTTATCAACTACAACCTAAACTGTGATTATGACCAAGGACAGCAAGCAGTGAAGTAAAAAGCAAAAAAATGAAAAGCAACAGCAACAACCACAACAACAAAAAAACAACTAGAAAGATTCTATAATATCTTCTCTATAACCTGAAAAAGTATTTATTTCCTACATGCAATAAGAAGCTTCAGGTTTGTGACTGTGAAAATCACAGTGTGATCTATATTCTAATCAATACTGAGCTGTATCAAATTATATTATTACAATTTTAAAAATGAAATTATAAGAAATGAAAAACATTTTATTTTCTATGCCAAATAATACATTGCTTTCTTCAAACAGAATTGAAAATCATTTCATACAAAATTAAACTTAACTCAGCTTTAGAATAGCTAAAATGTTATTTTCAGTAGTATAGTCATAAATGTGCAAACTTAACACAAATTTTAAAAATCAATTGTAAATCATTATATCCTTTTAAGTAACTGTGTTCCAAGATTTAGGAGACAGGACACTTTATAATGCCAAGTATTTTTTATAGTTGACTCTAGCAGTTACAATTTTGATTAAGTTAAAAAAAAATTGGTCCATGCTATTTAAAACTGGTATACATACTTGTATCTACATTGGATTCTAAAGTGAGGATGCGCTGTTGTGTTTCCATGTTAAAGATGCTTGTATATCCTTTGCTGAATGATGCTACCATATGGCTCGGGTCACTGCTCACTAGATCCACAGAGGCAGGGATTCCCAATTCTAAAAGTTAGAATAAAATCAAAGAGAATGGCAATTAAAGCACACACTTGACAATGTGCTTAAAATACAGCAACACAAATAATGGCATGATTACCTTAAAAGTAGACAAGACTTGACAAAAGCATAAGAAGTAGCTCATAATCACTCAATGGAGATGATTTCTTTCTTTCATGTTTAGTACAACCTAGTTCATTTACTATCCTTACCTGTTCAGCACACCTGTTACTCAGCTAATATATCCATGGAATCCAAACTTTTATTCAGAAAACAATTGGAAAACATGTTTGAATTACAAGTTTTGCTGCCTCCACCTCCACCTGGGGCTTAGGGTGGCACAGTGGTAACCCTTCACAGAAAAACCCACCTTGTATAAGAAATTTTAACTCAGCCGGGCTCGGTGGCTCAGCCTGTAATCCCGCGCCTTTGGGAGGCTGAGGTGAGCGGATTGCCTGAGCCCGCGGGTTCAAGACCCGCCTGGGCAGCGAGACCTCATCTCCACAATAAATCAAAAAATCAGCCGGGCGTGGTAGCGCATGCCTGTAATTCCGGCTACTCGGAAGGCTGAGGCGGAAGGATCGCCGGAGCCCAGCAGGTCGAGGCTGCGGTGGCCGGGAGCGGCCACTGCACTCCAGTCTGGGCGACAGAGTGAGACTCCAACTCAAAAAAAAAAAAAAAAGAAATTTTAACTCATCAAAAATACATCATGGCCAGGCTTGGTGGCTCAGCCTGTAATCCCAGCACTTTGGAAGGCTGAGGTGAGTGGATTGCCTGAGCCCGCGGGTTCGAGACCTGCCTGGACAACTTGGCGAGACCTCATCTCTACAATAAATCAAAAATTAGCTGGGTGTGGGAGTACGCGCCTGTAGTTCCAGCTACTTGGAAGGCTGAGGCAGGAGGATTGCTGGAGCCCAGCTGGTCGAGGCTGCAGCGGCCAGCAGCGGCCACTGCACTCCAGTCTGGGTGACAGAGTGAGTGAGACTCCAACTCAAAATAAATAAATAAATAAATAAAAAATAAAAAGTAAAATTTCAAGTTGTTATTTATTGTTGTAATGAAAATATCAACTGAAGACAACGCGTCAAAGCCTAGAAACAAGTTATAATAACTCAAGAATAAAGAAGGTATTTTTATTTACCATCTAGAATAGGTTAAAACTTAGTTTATCTATAAACAGAGAAAATAGAATGAGATGCATAAAATGAATACAATAATCTGAGTTTTTTTCGTTTGGCTCAAAATTTAACTAGAGCAAGCTAACAGCTCAAACAAGTGTACCGCAGAAGGTATACAAATGGTCAAGAAGCGAACAAAAAAAGTCTTCAACATAATTAGCCATCAAAGAAGTGCAAACAAACTATAACGAAATATTGCTACATTCCCTGAATAGTTCAAGTTAACTAAGTGACAACACCACATGCTGGTAAGGACGAAGAGTAACTAGAACTCTCATGCGTCACTGTTGATGGTGCAAAATGGCACAACCACACAATCTTTAAAAGAAGTTTGGTGACTTCACATAAAGTAAAATAAATACCCACTCAAACCGCAGCAGTTCTACTTCTAAGTCTCTACACACCTATGATGAAAGTATGTGAATGTTCATGGCATCTTGGCTCACAACAGAAAAAACCAGAAACAACTCAAATGTCCATCAGGAGATAAATGAACAGATACACTATGAAAATGAAAGATTATTAAATAAAAGAAATAAATTGACACAACAACATAAATGAATTGCAGAAACATTATAGTAAGAGTAAAAAGTCAGGTATAGAAGAATACATGCTATATTGTTGCATTTATATGAAGTTTTAGAATAGACAAAACTAAACTAGGAAGAAAGAAATCATCACAGTGGGTACCTCTGGTTGGGAATGAGGAGAGGAGACTGACTCAGAAGAACATGATGAAGGAGAGCGTCTATGTCATAACAGGTGTGAACGCATTTATCAGACTTGCTGAAATGCAGCCTTAAGATCTTCATTAACCAAAAATAAATTATATCTCAATTTAAAAAATTTAAAATCTGTGTGTCCTTTCACCAAATACTATGCTTTTAAAAATGACATTATGTTGGAAATTCAAACAAATATACTTTTACTGCTTCAAAAACTTTCAAGTTAAACCCAAAGAGTTCACAGAATCATTTATTTATTTGCTTTTTTTTCAGAAAAAGATTCTGTAGAAGATTCAAGAAAATAATTTTTGAAGTACATACCTTGATTATCATTAAACACACTCAGTGCTGGAGCAACCTCTGTGGTGTTCCACAAACGCAGAGTGCCATCTGCTGAGCAGGACAACAAACGCTGGTGTGCTGCACTGTAGGCCAAGCCCCAGACTGCATCCGTGTGGCCTAGCAGAGGGCCTCGCACAACAGAAGGATCTACACAAAGCAGCAGAAATGCAAAATCAGGAGGAAAAAATCATCAAGGTACTCAGATTTCAGAGAAAGTAAAAGATATAAACAGAAGCATCAGTTAACAGTATAAAATGTAATTCTTAGCTTCTATTATTCTTCTGAAATGCTGCAGCAAATAAAAACAGGCTTGGAAATACACAAATGTAGAATTTAAAATTTAAAAATTAAAATTAAAAAGCACATATTTTCCTCCTTAAAACAATCAGGTATTTCCTTCCACCGTCCTTTTGTTTTTCTATTTGTCTAGATATCTTAGAAGCATGTTAATACAAATCATTTGAATTTAATCTACCTTCGGAGAAACCACAACTCACAGCTCCCTGAGGAAGTGAACAGAGCACTCCCCTGCTCCTCTAAAGTACTTCAGTACTCTGGCTATACCTCCTGTCCACTTGTCCTACTGTACTATGAATGGGTTATTCCAGAAAGCATGACATTCACAATGGACAAGAACTGACACCTACAGGAATCCCCAAATTCTCAATCAGCAGTACTGAGCTGTGGGTGATGTGTATTAGGGGAAAGGGGATGAAAGTGGGGAGGGTCACTTAGCACAGTCTCATGATAAAAGTCAAATTGGGAACTTTATTAATTCTCGCAATGATGCTATGAAGTGGTACTTTCAGGATGACTCACAGATGTTAAGTCTGGAAATGCCAATGGTATTATGTCTTATATCCTCTCTCAGACATACCACAAAATACTTACTGAAGATACACTATGTGTCAGGGCACTATGCTTGATGATAGAGTCAAACAGATGATTAAGACAATACTCAATACTATCCCTGTCCTCAATAGACAATGTTGAAAGTAAAATAACAGTGGTGTCTGTTAACACAGTGAATAAATGGTATGAGTGAAAACTTGGAGAGAGAGACACCTAGAATGTTCAGATGTCACCAATCGGAGAAGAGACAGTATAGCTGGCAAAGAGGCAGCATCTACAAAACCTCAGAAGAAAAAAATAATGTGATATGTATGTGTGAGGAAATATGTAAGCAATTTCATGTTACTGGAGTGTGGAGTTTGAGGCAGGAAGTGGATGGGTTGAGGGCAGCCAGCTTATGGGTGATTTCTGTTACATATTAAGAAATTTGCAAATTATCCTGAAAGCAACAGGCAACCACTGAAGGGCTTCCCAGGAGCAGTAAGGTCAAGTAGGTATTTAATAAGGGACCTTGGTAGTAGCATAGAAAACAGACTAGACAGAAACAAGACAAAGGCAAGGGGACTGTTTCAGCGATAAAGACCTAATAAGCAAGGGGCATTGATAACAGGGTCAGAGCTGAAGAAGTAAACTCAAGAAAGTCATTATTAAAAAACTAGGTAATTAAGTAAGGAAAGTATGATCAACAGGAATCTCAGGTTTCTAGTGTGGGTGATTCTGGCAGTGCTACCAACTAAAAAGGAATATACAAGAGAAGAAGCACAGAGCATGCTAGGGTTCACAGGTAATGAAACAGTGCCATGGCAATCTGAAGTTTCAAGAAGAGATTTAAGAGTCAAAAGCATGTAAAACCAAAGAAGTACATTCAATCTCCCAAGGAATGTTTGTAAAGAAAGAGTTAAGGTCTGGGCCTTGATAAAAGCCAATATTTAAGGCAAGAAAAACAAAAGAAATTCATGTAGGATAGGAAATAGAAACGGTCACAAAGTGGCTCAAAAAGCCAACAGGATGGACAGATTTCAAAAAGGATGGCAGCCGGTGTGGTGGCTCAAGCCTATAATCTCAAGCACTTTGGGAGGCTGAGGCAAGAGGACTGCCTGAGCTCAGGGGTTTAAGACCAACCTGGGCAACTTGGTGAGACCTCATCTCTACAATAAACCAATAAATTAGCCAGGCAAGGTAGCGCACGCCTGTAGTTCCAGCTACTTGGAAGGCTGAGGCGGAACAATCGCTTGAGCCCAGCAATTCAAGGCTGTGGTGGCCGTGAGCGTGCCACTGAACCCCAGCCTGGGTGACAAAGTCAGACTCCAACTCAAAAAAAAAAAAAAAAGGATGGTGATGTTAACAGTCTCAGATGCAGCCACTATCTAGTAAAATAAAGACTGTACAATACTCTTGGATCAAGAAGTTTGTCATTGATGATCCTGTTAGACTTAAATGATGTAGCCAGAAGTCAGAGTGCTGAAGGGTGATACACAAAAAAAGGACATGGAAACTGTAACTGGTGATTATTTTCTAGACAACACCATCAAAGAAATAGATAATGAGGAAGAGGGAGAGACTACACAGAAGCCAGGGAGGAAAATGGGGTCAAGAAATGACTTCCCCAGCCCAGGAAAGGAGATACCTGAATTTACTTATATGCTGAGAGGATGGAGAGAAAAAACAGTGGGTGAGGCTTGATGAAGATGAGAGAGAGCAACAGAGCAAGGGTGAGAGATTAGAATGTGGTCCAGAGGTGGAGGGGAGCAGGGAGAGAGAGCAGGAGAGAGAGGGAGGAGAAAGGAGGGAGAAGGAGAGAGGGAGCAGGGAGAGGGAGAAGAAGGGAGGGGGAGAGAAAGAGAGAGGAAGAGGGAGGGAGGGAGAGGGACAGAGGGCAAAAAGGAGAGAAGGAGAGAGAGGTGAAAGCACGCTTCCAGAAGAAATGAAAAAGAATAGCCGAAATGGGAAGGACTGGCCTGGGACAGACAAAGGACAGGTGACCCTCCAGGAGAGAGGTAAAGGAAGGAAAGGCACTGAACAGACACACTTATAACAGAATTGGGGGAGAGGGAGAGGTTACCTTTTATGAAATATTTGTTTAATGCTTATTAAACAAATGTTGAGGAAAGATTTTGCTTATTGAATTTCTTATCTTAGGTTTGGTGTAAAATTAATCTAAAGTGATTAATATTAAAAAATGCTTTTATGACAAATATGACACTTCAAACCATTCTAGAACTTCAGAAAAAACTAAAATAGCCAATTCCTAAACAGGGTCTACAAGGAAATTTATAGGATTATCTACCAAAAGATTATAATATAGATTTATGACTTATGGTACTATTTCCAAGACTAAAGAGTATTTCTTAAATTTTGAGGCCTCTGAAATATTTTGGTGTCTGGAAGGCTGAGGCAAAAGGATCACCTGAGTCCAGCAGGTCGACACCAGAGTGGCCATGAGCATGCCACTGCACTCCAGCATGGCCAACAGAGTGAGACTCTAACTCAATTAAAAAAAAAAACCAGAAATATCATGGTGTCATATACTTTAAAAGTTATTAGCTTCTGGGCTGGGCACAGTGACTCACGCTTGTAATCCCAGCACTTTAGGAGGCCAAGGTGGGAGTATTGCTTGAGTACAGGAATTTGCAACCAGCCTGGGTAACATAGTGAGATTTCACCTCTACAAAAAAAAAAAAAAAAAATTAGCTAGGCATGGTGGCATACACTGGTACTCCCAACTACTCAGGAGGCTGAGGCAGAATGATCACTTCAGCCCAGTAGTTCAAGGCTGCACTGAGCCGTGATCATATTACTCCAGCCTGGGTGACAGAGTGAGATGACAACTCAAAAAAATAAAGTTATCAGCTTCTACATCCCTCCAATAATTTGTAACAATGTATCAAGAACTCTACAGATGCCTAAAATGAAGAAAGCAGTTGTCAGTCAAGCTAGTATGTCCAATCAATAAGACTTTAGGGAAATGGGAACTGTCTTCTCAAATACAGTATGTTATTCTTTTTCTTTTAGCATTATATATCCAATTGAGTCCTAAATACAGAAGTCTTGTTTGACAAAACAAAGATGTGGTTCTCTTTTACTTGTTTTCAAAAATACCTCATCTTAATCTTATATATACTATGACAAAACATGTACAAAGAACACACTTGCTTCTGGCAATCTTCGGGGCGTCACATACCGTAGGAGTCATAGGGGTCGACATTGGGATTAGTGGTGTTCCAGCCCTGGATCAGGCCATCAGTCCCCCCGCTGTAACACTGCTCCCCATTGCTGCTCATCACCACACAAAGCACTGGACCTCTGGAAGAGTAAAGAAAATCAGCTGCTTTTCTCAAAACTCAATGACTTGTTAAAAAGAAGAATATTTATTCAAATGGCTTCCTATTTTTCTGGTTTTTTACAAGAAATAAAAGTGCAGGTGCTATCAAAGCACTGCTTATCTTTCTTCCTCTGCTAAAACTGCGGTTGGTAAGCCGGGCTCGGTGGCTCAGCCTGTAATACCACGCTTTGGGAGGCTGAGGTGAGTGGATTGCCTGAGTCTGCGGGTTCGAGATCCACCTGGGCAACTTGGCAAGACCTCATCTCTACAATAAATCATAAAATTAGCTGGCGTGGTAGCGCACGCCTGTAGTTCCAGCTACTTGGAAGGCTGAGGCAGAAGGATCG